CAGCTACTAGTAAAGCTGATGCACAAAGATTGATTTAGCAATTATTAAATACTGATGTTGGTTCTGTGTGCCAGATTCAATGCTAAATGCTTGACACAATTATTTAATAATTTATCAATCACTACAGACCTGTAGATACCATTAGCCTCATTTCTCTCTGTGTAACAAGCAGCATTAAATGACTTGCTAATATCATGACTGAATCAAGATTTTTTTTCCTGTTGGTTGTGGGGCTTGAACTCTTGGCATGGGTGCTGTCCCTGAGCTCTTCAGCTCAAGGCCAGCACTCTACCACTTGAGCCACAGGGCCACTTCTAGCTTTTTCTGCTTATGTGGTGCTAAGGAATCGAACCCAGGGCCTCATGCATGCAAAACAAGCACTCTACCACTGAGCTACCTTCCCAGCACTGAATCTAGATCTTTTTGACAAAGCAAAAAATTACATATGTAAACTGACATAGAAGTGCCAACATTTTCCTTTCTTGTCAATCACCTATGTTTAATACATAGTTCCCTATTTCCTTTACTTTTAGTATATAGTGTTAGTCCTTTGTATTTTCAGTTAACATATACTCTTATTTCATACTTGTACTTTTGAAATGTATGATGTCAAAGTTAATGTAGTCTTGGTATTGAAAGGGTATCTGTTCACAGAAGTATAAGATCTTTAAATTATGATGGGAACAGGGATATCAGAGGCACATCAATGAACTGCTAGATATTTTACTTGTTCCCAGGATAAGAATAGGATGTATTTATCTACCCACCTGGTAACTGAACAAATGCAAGCCACTCTTGCTCTGAACCCAGTGGAGGGAGCCCATCCTCATTAAACCACCATGTAGTGTCTTCTGCATCTTAACTATCTGCTAAGACCCATCCTTGTTCACTGCATGAACAATTATCAGGATGGAGAGTATAACAACCAAATCAGTATTCTGTGTGTGTGTGTATGTGTGTGTGTGTGTGTGTGTGTGTGTGCTAGTCCTAGGGCTTGAACTCAGAGCCTGGTTGCTATCCCTGAGTTTTTTCCTCAAAGCTGGCATGCTACCACTTGAGCCACAGCTCCATTTCCAGAATTAATTAATTAATTTATTTATTTATTTAGTCAGTCGTGGGGCCTGAACTCTGGGCCTGGGTGCTGTCCCTCAGCTCTTCAGCTCATGGCTTGTGCTCTACCACTTAAGCCACAGCGCCACTTCCGGCTTTTTCTGCTTATGTGCTGTTGAGGAATCGAACCCAACGCCTCAAGGCAAGCACTCTACCACTGAGCCATCTTCCCAGACCCCATTTCCAGCTTTTTGGTGGTTAATTTGAGATGTCTTATGCTTCCCTGCCCAGCAAGCTTCTAACCATGATCATCAACTCTCAACCTTGAGTATTTAGGATTATAGGAATGGGCCACTGCCAACTGGGTAACCCTTAAGTTTTTGTTTTTGTTTTTCCAGCCATGAGACTTGAACTCTGGGTCCAGGTGGTGTCCCTCAGCTCTGCAGCTCAAGGTTAGTGCTCTACCACTTGAGCCACTGTGCCACTTCCGGTTTTCTGGTGATTAGTTGGATATAAGAGTCTCAGATTTTCCTGACTGGGCTGGCTTTGAACTGCAATCCTCAGATCTCAGCCTCCTGAGCAGCTGGGATTGTAAGTGTGAGCCACTGGCGCCGGGCTAAGTATTTTTTTTTTTTTTTTTTTTGTTGGTCATGGGGCTTGAACTCTGGGCCTGGGCGTTGTCCCTTAGCTCTTCAGCTCAAGGCGAGCGCTCTACCACTTGAGCTACAGCGCCACTTCCGGTTCCCTGGTGGTTTTATTGGAGATAGGAGTCTCACGGTCTCTCCTGCCTGGGCTGGCTTTGAACCGCGATCCTCAGATCTCAGCCTCCTGAGTAGCTAGGATTACAGGCGTGAGCCACCAGCACCCGGCCGGGCTAAGTATTTTTAAGAGAGCTCAGAAGCAACTTCAGACCCAGGAAATATTGTCAAGTAAGAGGCCTGGTTCTGCTTCTACAAACATGCTACTGCGGCAAAGGACACTTGATAGAAAATCATCCAAAAGTGAGGCACTAAAGAGCAAAGACTGAAAAGTGATTCAGTAGTTTTTTTGGTCTGGGAAAACTAGATTTGAACCTAAGACATGGAACTTAATAGGCTAGAGCTGTTATCACCTAAGCCACACTACTAGCCCCTTCGTTTTTTAGTTAGTCTCCGTTTATACTCAAGGGCCTGGGCTGCAAACTTACTTGTCCTTCCCTGTGTTGTTGGGGATGAGTCACATGTCACTCTGCCACACCACTGGTTTATAACTTCTTTTTGCCTGGTTTAGTTCTCCCAACTTTGAACTATATTTTCCAGCTCCTCTATTGCTTTTTAAACATTTTTTTTGGGTGGGGCAGTGCTGGAGATTTCAATTGGGGTGTGCACATAAGGAGCAATTATGCTTCCACTGGGCTAAGTTCCAACCTTAAAAGGTGATTCAGAAGTTAATATTAGTTTGTAAAAATGTAACAAAGTGGTGGCTCATGCTGTAATCCTAGCTACTCAGGAGCCTGAGATCTGAGGATCACAGTTCAAAGCCAGCCTGAGCAGGAAAGTCCGTGAGACTCTTATCTCAACCACCAGAAAAACCAGAAGTGATGCTGTAGCTCAAGTGGTAGAACACTCACCTTGAGCTGAAGAGCTCACCACTTCCAGTTTTCCAGTGGTTTATTGGAGAAAAGAGTCTCATGGACTTTCCTGCTCAGGCTGGCTTTGAACTGTGATCCTCAGATCTCAGCCTCCTGGGTAGCTAGGATTACAGGCGTGAGCCACTGACGCCCTGCCCATGAGATTTTTTTTTTTTTTTTGGGGGGGGGGGTCTGGTCATGGGGCATGAACTCTGGGCCTGGGCGCTGTCCTTCAGTTCCTCAGCTCAAGGCTAGTGCTCTATCACTTGAGCCACAGTGCCACTTCCAGCTTTTTTCTTTTTGCTTATGTGGTGCTGAGGAATCAAACCCAGGGCCTCATGCATGCAAGGCAAGCGCTCTACCACTGAGCCACCTTCCCAGCCCCCAGGAGACTCTTTATCTCCAATAAACCACTCAGAAAACTGGAAGTGGCCCTGTGGCTCAAGTGGTAGAGTGCTACCCTTGAGCTGAAGAGCTGAGGAACAGCGCCCAGGCCGAGTTCAAGCCCCATGCTCGACAAAAATAAATAAAAGGTGCCAGATGTGGTGGTAAACATCTGTAATTGCAGAATTCAGTAGGCTAAGGCAGGAGGTTCTCAGGGCCAATAAGGAACGTGGGCTATGATTACTTAGCAAAAGTATCTAAAGAAAAAAAAAAAAGGAAGCTAAAAATCTGAAACCACTGTTACTCCACAAGAGGGCAATGTTTGAACACTACTTTACTTTGTTAGTCGTGGGCCTTGAACTCAGGGCCTGGGCCCTGTCCTTAAACTTTTCTACTCAAGGCTAGCACTCTACCACTTTGAGCCACAGTGCCACTTCTGGTTTTCTTTTCTTTTTTTGTTGGTCATGGGGCTTGAACTCTGGGACTGAATGCTGTCCCTCAGCATTTCAGCTCAAGGTTAGCCTCTATCAGTTGAGCCACTTCTGGTTTTCTGAGTTTATTGGAGATAGTCTCAGACTTTCCTGCCCAGCCTGGCTTTGAACCTTGATCCCCAAGCCTCAGCCTCCTGAATAGCTAGGATTATAGGCGTGAGCCACTGGTGCCCAGTTCCACTTCTGGTTTTCTTGTGGTTAATTGGAAATGAATCTCACAGACAGACTTTTCTGCTTAGGTTGGCTTTGATCACTATCCTCAGATCTCAGCCTCCTAAGTAGCTAGGATTAGAGATGTGAGCTTGAACATAACTTTAAATGCAAGGTCTGGCCAACTGCTGTTTATTTCCATTAATATGCTGAGATGGCTGCACCCTTAATGATAGGTGGGCTGGTCATCCTCACTTCCTCTCTGGGTTGTCCTGCTGAGATGGTACCAATTCTCCTAATCCTGGCAGCACTGCTGTCTGGGGACCAAGAGCAGTGGAAGCAGATATCAGGGGAGAAAGCAGAGCACCTGGTTTCCTCAGTGTTTGAACCAACTTACTCAGATGTTGTCTGCTGGAAAGGGGTAATGTGGTGGCAGTTTCCCTTTAGCTCTCGGCACCAGCTCTCAAACTCTAGCAGGCTTGGTAAAATAGATCACTGGACCTCAATCCTAATTTCCAATTCAGAAGACCTAAGGTAAGTTCTTCTGTGATACTGATGCTGATCTGAGGACCCTGAGAACCACAGCTCTAGGGCTCCAGGGTATTTCTGGTCTTGGTGTCCTTCTTCATCTTAACTCCTATCGTGCATCTATTGCTTTACAACCATTTACTTATTATTTCTTCTCTGTTAGCTTTCCCTTTGTCTCCGTTAGGAGAATTAAAGGAAAGACCAAAAGCAGGAGTGAACAGTGTTAGATTCATCTTAAAGATTCCTCTGAACAAGGATCCAGGCACTCTAGTCTAGTGGTTTGGTATTTTAGGAGAAATAAACATAAACACACTTACACACATATATAGTTGTATAGCTACATATATTTTGGAAATTTTCCTCTTGTCTTCTAGGCTTAAAATGTTTTTAAGTTGTAATAGTCATAAAATTTACTGATTTAAGTAAGTGTACAGATAAGTGTCATTACATACATTCACATTTTTCTGTAGCCATCACTGTCGTCCATCTTCAGACTTTTTTTTTTGTGTGTGTCATGGGCCTGAACTCTGGGCCTGAGCGCTGTCCCTCAACCCTTCAGCTCAAGTCGAGTGCTCTACCACTTGAGCTACAGCGCCACTTCCGGTTTATCTTCAGACTTTTTTATCTTCATCAACTCAAGCTCTGTATCCACTGAACAGTAACTTCCACCCTCATACTCCCCTTAGCAACCCCCTTTCTACTGGAGGACTACTTCTGGACTATTTTTCTTAATAAAAATGAGGGTCCATTGTTGCTTAATGGGATTGTTTCTATACACCCAGGCCTTCTTGCATACACATGATTGAGTTTATTGTAGAGAAAGGTAACAAAAAGTGAGGCTGGAGAAAGAAAAGGGATGGAGGCACCAAGAAGATGTAGGCTTCCTACCCACAGGCTCAGCACCCCTGCCATGGATCTGCCCTATTCTTTCGCATCAAGAAGTTGATTTTTCGAGCCATTTCCATGTTGTAAATCCTCCGGCAGGTCTCATAGCTTTCCCGTTGTCGGCGGCGACAAGGCTTCTCATAATATCGTCGTCGCTTGATGTCCTCTATGAGCCCATCCATTGTGAGGATTCTGTGTAAAGACAGGCCATATGAAGTTAAAAGCTTGACTCATTACTATTTCAGCTTCACAAACAGAAACTCAATTGTCCAAAACAATTGGTGTTTGTAAAATAATCACCGTGTGCAATGGTGCCAATACAATATTAACTGTGTATTTATATGTCTTATAAGAATTTGTGGAGAAATTAAGCAATTATATGGATCTTGCTCTTGAAGAGGTTTCAGCCAAGCCTGTATTCTCAAACTTTCTCTACTGTAACAAACCTGAGGGATATGACACAGTTTCACAAAAACAGTAACTTCCTATGGCAGTAATATTCAATCAAGGAGGCATTTCAGAAACATCTAATGGGACTAGTCATTTGTAATAAAAAAAAAAAAAAAGTGTTGGGCTTTGGTGGCTCATCCCTTTAATCCTAGCCACTCAGGAGACTGAGATCTGAGGACTGTGGTTCAAAGCCAGCCTGGGCAGGGAGGTCTATGAGACTCTAATCTCCAATAAGCTATGAGAAAACCAGAAGTGGAGCTGTGGCTCAGAGTAGTAGAGTGCTAACTTGAGTAAAAAAACTCAGGGATAGCACCCAGGTCCTGAGTTCAAGCCCCATGACTGACAAAAAAACAAAAACCCAACAAGAACCACCACCAGCTGGGTGCCGATAGCTCATGCCTGTAATTCTAGCTACTCAGGCGGCTAAGATCTGAGGATCACGGTTCAAAGCCAGCACTGGCAGGAAAAGTCTGTGAGACTCATCTCCAATAAAGCACTAGAAAACTGGAAGTGGTGCTGTAGCTCAAATGGTAGAGTGCGTGCCTTGAGCTGAAGAGCGCAGGGACAGCACCCAAGACGAGTTCAACCTCCATGAACGATTAAAAAAAAAAAGAACGACCACCAAAAACTCATTAGAGCTGATTCCAAGTCAGGTGTGATGTTGCATGTCTTGCCTATAATCTCTGCACTCTCACACCTGAGCCACAGCTCTACAGCTCTACTTCTGGCTTTTCGGTGGTTAACTGGAGATAAGTCTCATAGACATTCCTACCTGGGCTAAACCTCAATCCTCAGATCTCAGTCTCCTCAGTAGCTAGGATTACTGAGCATAAGCCACTGGCACCTGGTCCCCTTTTAATTTTATTTATTTATTTATTTATTTTTGGGTCCGGTCGTGGGGCCTGAACTCTGGGCCTAGGTGCTGTCCCTCAGCTCTTCAGCTCAAGGCTAGCGCTCTACCACTTGAGCCACAGTGCTACTTCCGGCTTTTTTTTCTTTTTGCTTATGTGGTGCTGAGGAATTGAACGCAGGGCCTCAGGCATGCAAGGCAAGCGCTTTACCACCAAGCCACCTTCCCAGCCCCCCTTTTAATTTATTTTAAGACAGGGTCCCACTAAGTTGCTCAGGTTAGACCTGAACTTATGATCCTCTTGCTTCACCTTCCAGAGTATCAGGACTTATAGGCATGTATCTATCAATCTTTTTCCCCCTGTGCTGGTCCTGAGGTTTGAACTCAGGGCCTATGTGCTATCTCTGAGCCTCTTTATGCTCAAGACTAGCGCTCTACCACTTGAGCTATAGTACTACTTCTGGCTTTTTCTGAGTAGTTTATTGGACATAAAGAGTCTCATGGGCCAGGCATCGGTGGCTCACGCCTGTAATCCTAGCTACTCAGGAGGCTGAGATCTGAGGATCACAGTTCAAAGCCAGCCTGGGCAAGGTGAGACTCTTATCTCCAATAAACCACTAGAAAACCAGAAGTGGTACTGTGGCTGAAGTGGTAGAGCACTCGTCTTGAGCTGAAGAGCTGAGGGACAGCGCCCAAGCCCAGAGTTCAAGCCCCAAGACCGACTAAAAAAAAAAAAAAAAAAAGAGTCTCATGGACTTTACTGCCCAGACTGGCTTTGAACCATGTTCCTCAAATCTCAGCTTTCTGAGTAGCTAGGATTACAGGTGTAAACTACTACCCCTAGGTACTCTGAATGAGGTTAACACTAATGTGGTAGCCTCAGGCTAAAATACCACCCCAACTCCTACCTTCCCCACTACTAGAATTTTTCTCAATTTTGATGGGAAGCCTAGTTACTTCAAAAGTTTTTCTTCTTCTCATTTGTGGTAGGGTAAAGGAAGGGCTTGGAATTGAATCCAGGGTTTCACATATACTAAGCAGGCACTCGACCACTGAGTCACACCCTTCAGCTCTTCTCTCTTTTCTCTCTTTTGGTGCCAGTCTGGAAACTTGAACTCACGGCCTGAACATTGTGCCTGAGCTTCTCTGCTCAAGGCTAGTGCTCTGTCTCCTAAGTCACCACTCCACTTCCGGTGGTTAGAGATAAGAGCCTCATAGAGTTCCCTGCTTGGCTTGGCTTCAAACTGCAACCCTCAGATCTCAACCTTCTGAATTGCTAGGATTACAGGCATGAACTACAGCACCCAGCTTACCCTTCTCCTCTTAAAAATAATAATTTATTATACTCTTATTCAGCAATTATTTCATTGTTATTCTACTAGCTATTTAATAAATGTGTCACTCATTAAGCTGAAATCCCTTAAGCCAAAAGCTATGCTCTATTTTATTTTATTTTTTCAGTTGTGGGGCTTAAACTCTGGGCCTGGGCTCTGTCCTTGAGCTCTTCAGCTCAAGGTGAGTGCTCTACTACTTGAGCCACAGCGCCACTTCCGGTTTTCTTGTGGTTAAGTGGAGATAAAAGTCTCTTGGACTTTCCTTGCCCAGGCTGGCTTTGAACCAAGATCCTCAGATTTCAGCTTCCTGCGTAGCCAGGCATGAGCCACCAGCACTCAGCTGAGCCACCAGCACCAGGCACTATGTTCTATTAATATTACCCTCAATGTCTATGAAATAGATCTAGAACCTGCTTCTTTCCTGCCTATCCAATTCCTTGCAATGCAGCTTTTCACACTGTATTAATAACTTCCCCAATTCAAACTCATCTCTTTGTTCTAATTAAGCTAAGATATTGACTCCAATCTACAATTTGTCATTATTTTGGTCCAGATTCACTACTTATCATTTGTTCCTGAGGAAGTCAAGGTGCCTTCTAGGTTGCCCTCTATTCCAGGCACTGTTTACAAGTTCACGCTTACCTTATCTCTTCTTTCCATGCAAAAAGTAAGTCAAACACAACTGGAGATAAGGAGCTGGAGACCTAGTCATTATAACTGGAGGAAAATGGATGAAGGAAATAAAAACAAGAAAAACCACCAGCTATTTCTGCACAGTGGGAAACTCCATTCACTGCTTTTGTTGTACTACAAAGTCCAAGGTAACAACAGATTGGTCATGAACTTGCAAAGAACTGGGCTTTAGGTAAATTACAAGTGTGAATAGGCATGGGAAACACTGTCTGGTAAGCTCCTTTCCCAGTCTCTTACTGTTTAATATAAAAAAATGAGAAGCTGGAGCTGGAGGTTGTAGTTCAGCTGTAGAATGCCCAACATATACAAGGTCATGGGTTAAATCCCCAACTGCTTTCTCCCTTCCTCACCCCCCAACTAAAGGCATGGCTTAAGTGGTAGTACTAGTCTCCTGTAAATGACCAGATATGCCTGAGGCCCACCTAAAGAATAATTTGTACAATACTAGGAAGTTATATTTGTATTTGTTTAGTGGCTAGGAGATGGGAAACAAGAGAATTGCTATCAATTCCCAAAAGTAGGAGAAGCAAATCAGTACAAGTTGCGTTAGAAATACAGCAATATCTGCTGGGTGCTGGTGGCTCACACCTTTAATCTTAGCTACTCAGGAGGCTGAGAGCTGAGGATCGCAGTTCAAAGACAGCCTGCGCAGGAAAGTCCATGAGACTCTTATCTCCAATAAATGATCAGAAAATGGGAAGTGGCGCTGTGGCTCAAGTGGTATAGCGCTAGCCTTGAGCTGAAGAGCTGAGGGACAGTGCCCAGGCCCAGAGTTCAAGCCCCACAACATAAAAAAAAAAAAAAATATATATATATATATATATATATAGTATCTCAGGCCATGAAACCTTTTCCCTTCACCTGACTATTAATGTTATCTTTCCTGATTCTAACTGTAAACCTCCTCCATTCTGGTTCCATGATTTCTTTAGAAATCATGCCAGAGGACTTCAACTCTGATGTACAATGAAGTCATCTAGAGTTTTTAGAAGGTACTGATGGCCTAGCTCTTAGCTTTGTCTAGAGTCAGGCCATGCACTGGTACTGTTTTTAAATTTTCCAGATGACTAATGTAGAGCCATGATTGAGAACAAGAGACCCAGACACTGCTGATACCCTTATCTCTGTAGCCCCAATTTTAACTATAGTCTACTATTTCTAATCATCTCTAACTCTACAGAAAACAATATGTTTCATTGCCACATTTATTCTGCAAAAATTATAATACTGTAAGAGAGATATAAAGAGAAACATTGCTATAAAAGCACACAGCTGAGGCATTTAACTTGAATTTGAGAATGAGATAGTATCATGAAGGCTTCCTAATGCACAAGTTATTTGAAATCTGAAGAGTAAGTAGGTTGCCCTATTTCTATTCTTTTTCTACATCAATTATTGTCCTAAAACATAAATCAGATCACACAGACCACTATAAGCCTATGATTCCCAGACTTATCTGTACATTACAATCACCTGGGGAATCTTGAAAATTTCTAGATCACACCATAGACCTTAAATCACAGGGTACAAAGGAAGAAAAAGGGACATAGCAAGTTTCTCTTTCCTTCCTTTTATCTTTCTTTTCTCTCCCTTTCTTTCTTTTTCTTTCTTTCCTTCCTTCCTTCCTTCTTTCTTTCTTTTTTCTTTCCTTCCTTCCCTCCCTTTTTCCAACTTATTCCAATGTGCAGACAAATTTGAGCACCACTAGTATAAGCTCCAGCTGGCCCAGGCTGGAAAGCCGGTGAAACTCTTGTCTCCAATTAATCACCAACAAGTTGGAAGCAGAGCTGTGGCTCAAGTGATAGAGCACTAGTCTTGAGCAAAAAAGATCAAGGACAGTGCCCAGACCCTGAGTTCAAGGCCCA